CTCACACACACATACACACACACAAAAAAAAAAAAACAAAAAAAAAACGAACTTCCCCCCTTTTTTTTTTCGGAGGCCCCGCGCGGCCTCAAATTTTTGTTAATATTTTTTTGTGGTTTGTGACGCCAGATCTCACTCGGGTCTAAAACACCCCTCCCCAACTTTTTTTTTCTTTTTCTCGACCCTTTACTTTCTGGGTGCGCCGCACCCAGTGCGCGCGCGTCATGTGCTGTGCGCAGTGCGGCGCGTGTGCGCGGTGCAGCACACGTCGATGCGCCGCAAGTATTGCCCACGAATAGATTGTAGCATGTCTTCTTAAAAAAAAAAAAAAAGATGAGAATTGCTGGAATTGGTAGAAATACCTGGAATTAGGATAGGGTTCCATGTTGAAGTTCTGAGTAGAGAACATTCTGATTAGCCATCCTGATCACTCTTCCTTATTTGCTAGTACTTAGAGTGCGACTGGTCAGACATCATGATTCTGATTAGCAGAAAACCATCAGTTTTAGCATCATCATCATCATCCTCATCATCATATGTTGGTTACTCCGGGTAGACTGTGAGGACCCTGGCCTCAATGTTCTCAAATATCAATGCAAGCCTTGGGCACTGGGCCCTTGAAAAAAAAAGGCAAAAAAAGGTCTAAGGACCATAAACACCTTGTACATAGCCTGCATGTTCTCTCCCAATTGCTCGGCGGACAGGCCAAACTGTTTGGCCACTTCTGTGAAACCCTCCTTTCGATAAATCTCATAACGGGATCGCCTTCTTGGTCTCTTGAACAATGATGTCTGCATCTCAGCTGTTCCAGCTTCATCGACGTCAAAGTGGAGACGGAACTCCCCATCGACGTCATCCAGTGCTGCTTCCGATTGCGCGTCGATCATCATTTGCATTATCTTCTCAAGCAAATCTAGCTTCTCTGGATCTCTCTCCTCCTCAACCCTCATCTGCTGAACATAAGTTTTATGGAGATATGTCTTTCGTGTTTGCATCGCGCGCCATTTCTTGTCCCAGTAATGGACTGTCCACAAGGCCTACAGGAGAACAAAGAAAACACCATTGCCCGCACTCACATGAGATAGCCAAACTTCTTTCAACTAGACTTGTAAAATCTAAGGGGGCTGGGAAAAGGCAAAAAAAAAGAGGGAGGGGGGGGGGAGGAAGGGCGGTGCAGGGGTCAGGGAGGCAGAGCGGAGGAAGAGGAAGGGGAAAGAGACACAGAAGAAGTGTTTTAATCTTTCTGCAGCAACTGTTATGTAGTAGAAATCCCATAAACCAGAGGATCAAATCATTCGGACAAAAAAGAAACAATTTCAAAGAAGTTGAAAGCGGAAAAAAAAAAAAAAAAAAAAAAAAAAAAAAAAAAAAAAAGAGAAGAATCTTTACTTCAATAGATGACTAATTAGTCTCATGAGCTGATCGGCTCTAGACTTCTCTCAGGAATTTCTTTTTTCATTCGAAGGGACACTGGGCCCGGTTTCCAGTCTGTACAAATAAATATCATGATGTATTCAACTTAATTCAAGGGACGCTGGACCCGGTTTCCAGCAGGTGGTGCTCCCCACCAATAGACGGAGCCTGTCTTTTCAACAACAACAGAAAAAAAAAAAAAGAAAAAAAAAGAAGAGAAGATTAGATCCTCTGTGCGAAAGAAGAGGTCCGAAACCCAAACAACGTAAGGTGCTTAGAACTGCTTACAGCGTATTATTAGCATACGCAGAGGGTGTTTTCCTGTTCAATTCAAAAGGTTGTCCAGGTAGGAGATGGGCTAAGAGGCCCCTATATTGCTTGGCCATGGAAGGCAAGTGCCTCAAGAAGCCTGGTTTCTTGAGCATCCCAATACTGGCGGCAGACCTTTCCGGCATTCAGTCCCAGCCTGTACTACACTCTCTCAGTCTGCCCCTGAAGGTAATTGTATGCTCCACCCCTCTTCCACACCCCCTAACTCACACAGTCTAGGATACCCCCCTCAAGGTAGATATCACTTCGTCCTTCGGGACATCCGCCAAAATTGGAACGCTACAGAGAAGATTAGCATGGCCCTGCGCAAAGATGACACACAAAAATCGGGAAATGGTCCAAATTTTTGATTAAAAAAAAAGGATAGAGATCTCTTCCTCACCTATCCCAGCAGTGGTGGTATCACTAAGAGCGTAAGAAAATAGAATGTATCATTAAAATAACAAGTGCTTCGGGACATCCGTTAAAATTGGAACGATTCGGAGAAGATTAACATGGCCCCTGTGCAAGGATAACACACATAAATCGGGAAATGGCCCAAATTAAACAACACCAACAACACCAACAACACCAACAACACCAACAACACCAACAACACCAACAGCACCAACACCAACACCAACACCACCACCAACAACAACAACAACTATGGCCTCCGCTCCACTATTCACCAAATGTGCAAAATGAAAATGAATCTTCCACAAGCACATAAGAAGATATACTGTGATATGTTTTGTCTTTTGTGCATGCAGTTATCTTCCACATTCGGGACAGGTACGTATGGCCTTGGATCCTTCAAAATGAGAGTGAATCTTCCCTAGCACATGGGAAGAGACATAACCATATTTTTTGTCTTTTGTGCATGTGGTGAGTAGCAGACCGGGATAGAGCTGCATCACGCCGTCCGGAGGAGACGAATATGTGGGGGGGAGGATGCGAGGGGAGAAACGAGAGAAAGGGGGCGACCAGGGTTACCGCTCCTGGCGACCGCCTTGGGATTGGACTTCATCCCTTCGTGAGGGAGGTTGTGCACGACGATTTCACAAAAGCCGCAGATCTTCTTTCTCTGCGGTAGACGGCCTCTCTCCCTCCTGATCCGAATTGCATAACCGCCTCTGTTGTTGGTCGAAATCTCCATAGCTTGTGCCCATGCCCTACCATGATACCTATGTAGGCGAGACTTTTTTTAGGCGTGGCTTGGCACGATGGTCCTTTCATAAGTAGGACTAGGGTTGAGCTTCCGCACAGAAAGAAGAAACGTTGACTGTCTCTCGTAAGCTGGGGCGAAGGACGATCACGGATGCTCAAGGGGAGGATGGACAGGGCAAGTAATTAGGGTTGTTTGTATAGCTTCGTAAAAGAGAGGTCAGTCAATCCCCTCCTGGAGAGGGTAATCAATGCTGCCTCCTGCTGTGTATCCATTTGATTGATTCTTGTAAACTTGGCTCCTGGTGCATGTCATTAAAAAAAGGAAAAAAAAGAAAAGAAAAGAAGGATACACGGCTATATTATTTGTCCTTTGTGCATGGCCTAATGAGAATGAATATTCTTGCAGAACACAGGAAGATACAGGACCATATTTTTTCTCTTTTGTGCCCTGGGATAGAGCTCCAGCACGCCGTTGGAGAGGATTCAAGGCTATATTTTCCATCCTTTGTGAATCTTGTGCATGTGGTGAGTACGGGATGGGGCCAGCCCATGCGTACAGGAATAGGGCCTCGATCCACTACCCATTACGTACACAAAAGACCACAACTATGGGGGTGTATCTTTCCATATTCTACCGGAAGATCCATTCACATTTTCCACAATTCATGTAGGGAGGCCCATAGACAGCACGGGCAGAAATGCAGATGTACAAAACGGTCCCGAGAAAAACGGATTAAAAAAAAGCACAACCTAAACGATAAAAAAAGACAAAAACCAACTGGCAAATGGCACGTGGAGCCCAAGAAAAGTAAAAAGAGAAAACTGCATTTTCAGCTTGAGCAGCATAATTGGTTGAACGACGAGATCCTTTGAATCCCACTGAACCAGAAGAGGACCAAGATTTGGTATCTCCAAAAGAATCTGTTATGGTAATTATAGTGTTACTTAAAGTTGATTGAATATAAGCAATACCGTGTTTTGTTTGCATGGCGTTTTTGATGTTATTTGACGGCTTACACTTTATAAAGAGTATAGATATAGATATAGAAAATTAATAAAACTCCGATAAGACCGCCTAGGCCAAAACCGGAAAGAAAAGACAGTGAAGACCAAACCTGGAAAGAGAAGGAGCTGGGAAAAGGGAAACTGGAACAAGGGGCTCTGCTCCGATGACAGACAAAGGACCAGATCCAGCCTATGGAATAACACAGAGGTTACCTTATCCCTTCCCCCTAGAGATAGACCAGGTTCAGACCATAATATGTTCTGGCATACACAAACTGAAGAGTTCAAGACCTTATGAATTGAGAAAGGAGTATAGTAATGCTGCGGCGAAGGGTGAGGGAAGCGTACCCGGCGTACCCGGAGAGGGAGAGGAGAGGAGGTAGCACCAGGGCTGTCTAGGGAGGCAATTCTCTCTTCCTCCCCTCTCTCTCTCACCCTCTCTCTCCCCCCCTCCCCCCCTCCCCCCCCTTCCCCCTCTCTTCTATCAGGTTACCTTTGCAAAAGAGGTCCAGAACTAGGGAGGCATGTCTCTCTTCCTCCCCTCTCTCTCTCACCCTCTCTCTCCCTCCCTCCCTCCCTTCCCCCCCTTCCCCCTCTCTTTTATGAGGTTACCTTTGCAAAAGAGGTCCAGAACTGAAAAAAGGTTAGGTGCTTACTGTGCGTACTAGAATGCGCAATCCTTGTACATCTCAGAATAATGAATGAACCATGAATACAACGGGAGGCCTGCCGCAGTGATGTCATGGCAGAGGGGGACGGAGTAGTACCCTGAGGGGGGGAAAACGCTGAGCAATAACGGAGGCAACCGACTCTACGTGTGGACTGGATGTGCCTCCTCAAAACCAGCAAGCGACACTGTACCTCATACTTCCGCAGTTTTGGCCTCCTTTCTCTATCATCTCCTTCAAATTCTTCATCAACGAGCAGGCTTGGACATAGTTCTTGGCGATGCATACCTATAAATGGAATCTGCACCACAATTTATTGGCAGATTCAGCAGGCTGCATATCCTAACGAGTAGTTCATCTGCATAAGCTCAAGTGTACCATGTTATGAAAAAAAACAGAAACCGTATTAGATCATTTAGATTCACTCTCAATATCTGCTGAGCTCTGAGTTTTTGTCAGAGAGAATATCACCAGCACTCGTTGAGACTCGAACTGCTTAAGATTCTCTCTCTCTCTCTCTCTCTCTCTCTCTCTCACACACACACACACACACACACACACACACACACACACACACACACACACACACACACACACATTCAGTAACTTCAGTTTTCTATCTGCCAGTCTTTTTCCTGCTGCTTGTCCTCCCTCTAAGTTTTTTTCTAAGTATTTTTCTGTGTGCCCAACTGAGCACCCTTAAGTAGTGTCAAACAGTCGGTGGGTCCTCGTTTGGAGTGCCAACTGCACTCTTAAGGGGCCTGCTCGGTTCGGGATGTCTGTGTTGCCTATGGGTGATGACGGATGCTCGTCGGAGTGTCTCCCTGGCTCAGTGGGTGGTGGGAACCAACAGTCTGCGGGGTTCAATCGTGATGTGAGTAGGTCATGCGCTGCTTTGCTCCGTGTTGGATGTGTGGACGTCCTCGTCTGCGCTCCGCCGCTGCCTTGCTGCCTGTCCCGCTTGCTTCGCGTGTGGTTCTTTCCAGGTTGACGTGTTCGCTGTGCGGTGTGGCCGTGTTGTTGGTGTTGCCTTGCGCTTCACTGCTCCGCTGCCGTGCAGCTCATCCGCTGGCCGTGCCTTTCGTGCTTGCCGCTTGTGTGCCCTGTAGGTTGGTTGCCTTGTTGATGATGCCTTGTGCTCCGCTCCACGGTTGCCGACCTGCTGGTCCGCTCACTCTGTCGTTCTCGGCAGTGCTGTTGCTTTGTTTGTGTTGCCTTGTGCTTCACTACACGGTTGCAGCGCTGCGTGCCATGTTGTTCCTTGCAGTCGTTTTTGGCGTTGTGCAGTCGTGTTGCCTCTACTGTGTTGCCTGGTGCTTCACAGGGTTGCTGCCCGCTGCTATGTTCCTCTTGGGGACAGTCTGCCTCCAGCAAGGGTCAAAGGGTTCATGACCCAAACCATCAAATACGGGGATTCCGAAGATTGTCGAGGGTTCAGCCTCCTGATGAGTCGGTGCAATTCTGACGAAACAATCTATCATCATCAGTTTTAAGAACTTTTTATTATTTTTTATTTTTTTCAGTTTTCTTGGTTTTGGTACTTGCCTTATTCGTTGGTTGTTGCCGTTTCCCTGCCTTATGTGCTGGTGTGTTGTCTGCCCTCCCGCCTCCCCAATGCCCTCCAACCTATGCGTTGTCTTAATTTTTTTTGGTACTTGCCTTATCCACTGGTTGTTGTCCTTTTGCTGCCTTATGTGTTTGTGTGTTGTTTGAAACTGACTGATCACTCAGAAACTCGAGTAGACTCCGTTTTTTCGCCACTACAGATAAAATCTACCATACTTGTGAATGTTACCTAAGCTAGAGGTGTGCCGATGACCTGTCATCGGAGATCATACCTGGCATAGTGTAACTTGCCATGGGGTGCATTGAAGCACACACACACACACACACACACACACACACACACACACACACACACACACACAAACACGCAGTTTATTTATACTTGCCATTAGGGGGCTGCGGTGGTTGGGGTGCATGAATCTGTGTTTTCCAGTGGTGACACACAATCATCTAGTGGCTTCCTGGCTCTTAACCTACAGTCTGATTTGCTCCTTGCTGCATTTATTGACCGTGTCCCTGTGCCTTGCTACGTTGGTGTACTTGACTTATTTTGTGCTGCCCACTGCTATTGTGTTGGGTGCCCTGTTGTGTTGCTGTGTGCACGCCCGGGTGCCCACCCACTTGCCTTGCTGCCTGTCCCGTATGATGTGCTGTAAGTTGCCTTGTTCACGCTGTGCTGCATGCTTTGATGTGTTTGCCCATTCGTGTCGGGTCCAAAGCTGGATATGATTGAAAGCGTTTTGAGGAGATCCAGCAGACTGTCGAACTGGATAATATGATTGAAAGCGTTTTGGAGATCCAGCAGACTAGTGAGGGTTCAGCCTCCTGATGAGTCGGTGTAAGTCCTACGAAATAGCCTATCGCAACTTCTGTGTTTGTTTGTGTGTGGTCTGGTTCATCCGCAAGTTGATTCAAAGCACAGATGCTGCTTATGGTTCGGCATAGTAATTTCCCGCCTTCCCCTACGGGATGCCCCTGTTTTATGCCTACAAGTTCTCGTTCCAAAGGTGTGCCGATATAGTACTTTGGAGATGTGGTGGTGTTTGTCTCTTACCCTCGTGCGCCTTGTGTGCACACACACTTAACGTACACATACACGCACAGACACAGACTAACAACAAAGGGAAGACAAAGAAAAGGAAGATGGACGCTGTCTGGCCAGTCATGCTTTTTTTTTGTGTGGAGTTGTGTATTGTGAACATGACAAGACACAGACTCACGACAAGCAAAAGGAAAAGAAAAGAAAGATGGACATTCAAAAGCAAAAAAGAGACTCGCATGCAAGCTGCAGTGGTAACACCAAAGACGTACACACACCCCTTGGCTTGCGTGGTGGAGTTAGCAAGAGACAGGAGATGACCTTGCGACGTCTTTCCCTTCCACATTCTGCGTCCTCTGTCCCTCTTTTGAATGATGACACAGTCAGCAGCAGTGTGATCATTACATGAGAAATCAATATTGCACGTGTACGATGCACAACCTCATGGAACAATTGTCCTGTGGTCATGAGCATTACAAACAAGAATTGTGTCCATATCCTCTATTGCATCCTACCCTCTTTGCCAAGAAAACTTTTGACGTCCTGCTGTTTGAGACCGTTTCTGCAGTCTGCCTAACTTTTGACGTCCTGCTGCTTGAGATTGTGTCGGCAGTCTGCCTGCTTGAACTTGGTTAGAGCTCTACCTAATGTGTGTCTTGCCTGCCTCGCTTTCGCAAAGATGGGATTGCCCCACTGCCTTGATATCATGTGTGGTGTTCTCATTCTTCGACTCAGGTAGAACTGTCTCGAGTACCTCTTCGCCCTTCCTTTCCTCCTCCTCCTCCTCCTCCTCCTCCTCCTCCTCCTCCTCCTCCTTCCCTGCAGTCTTCCTAGTCCTTCAATTGGCAAGCAACTTGGTGGTTTCGCACTGCCAACATTTCAGTGCCTGGATGGCGGCCGCACGTGAGAACACAAAGATAATGAGATGCAAGAGCTAACTGAAGGCCAGGCATGAATAAACCAGATGTAAAGCAGATGATGCCGACTTGCCAAGAGCAAACCAAACCAAACCAAGGTCTGAAAGTCTGTTCACAATGAAAGTCCTCCTCACACCTCCAACAATCGAAACGACAACAGAGTAATACCCCTAACTATGATGTGTCCGCCTATACTGCTTCCCTACTCTGGCCTACAAGCTAACCTGCTACTACCCCATACTCAGTCTCCACTCTCCTCTCACCAGCTGCAGCTGCAGGTGCTCTCCGACCACACACCAGATAAGTATCTGCCTGTCCCCACTTCCGCTCTCCTTCCTTGATCGACTCCGACCGCTGACCACCTTTTCTGATGCATGACACCTGCCAACCCAGCTATGGCAACGCACATGCAAGCAGCTACTGCAACTCCGTTCCTCCTTTCCTTGCATGGGAACAGGCTGCTGGCGCACTCTCAGCGCTCTCGCCCAATGTGTTGTATGCCTCAGCCTTTTTTTCTTTTTTTCTTTTTTTTTCTCTTTTTTTTTAACAGTCCGAGCTGATGCTAGGGATGCTGATAGGAGCAGGCACCACTAGCACCCCCGGAGAGGCTCCATCCATTGGTGGGCAGCAGCACCTGCTGGAAACCGGGTCCAGCGTCCCTTTTGAACAATGGAATTGTGGGATAATTCCCTGTCAGCATTCATTACCGTGGTCCTCACGGGATTGACTGAGCAAGGACGGAGGTGGCCGGGATGGGGGCCAATGCCTTGGGCCCCGGGGGGCACCAGGCTCCATGGCATTAGTGCCATCCCTCCCCCCCCTTGTGGAGAATACTGAAAAATAGGACAAAACAGAGTGAGCTCTGCTGATGCCTGAGTAATCTGTGACTAGACCCCTTCTTGCAGGATTTCCACCACTGCTGGCCTCCTTCCTTTTGTTTCTGTTTTCTGACCGACGTAAGAGGTCTGAGTCTCCAGGGCCTGGATGGCAGCCCAAGAACCTGCCCAGTCTGGGTCCCGAGAGAGGGCCTACTGCTTAGTTACCTGGTCGGGCCCTTACAGTTGCAGGACCCAGCATTCGTGCTTAGGATGGCTCTGAACTTTGCTATGTGGCCTGCTATGGGCCACCGAGGGCTGGGCCTCACATATCTGTCTGTAGTTCCCATATTTGGATTATGCTATAGTCAGCAGTAATGTGAGTACCACACGACACCGCATGTGTAAAAGCTGTGCTAGAAACCTAATGCCTCTCTGTCATGTGGTCACCAAGTGTTTGCTAAATTTGCATCACCCTCCCTAACAGGACTGTTGTGACTCCCTTGGCTGCTTGAAACCATGTCTGCGGTTTGTCTACTTCACTTCAGATGGAGCTGCCTCAACTGTCTTGTATTTCCTCCTCCTCCTCCTCCTCCTCCTCTTCCTCCTCCTTTGATTGATAGGTTCCTTGGCAGATCCACATTTCCTAGTTCTGAGTGCTTGTTTGTCCGTGCTCATGAGCAAGTTGTAGAGAATGGGGTGGCACCAGAGGTTGCTACTCAGGCCATTTTTTCCTTTTAAAGAAGCTCATAGGGCCCTTCTACTCTGGGGGGCGTGCAGTAAAGCAGATTGTTTGACATGACAGATGAAGACTACAGCCCATCGAACCCCCACCACCCGAGATGCTGTACGGGGGGTGCTGGGGGGCCACCCCATGGTAACCATGTCCTCTTCCTGGGGCACATGTAATGGCAGGGGAAACAGGTCTATGTACCCAATGCCCGCTAAATGTGTCCCGGGAGGG